GTTTTTGCAATGATCCATATGCTGTGTTTTTCTGGAGAGACGTTTGATTCTGACCTTTATTTAGCAAATAGGAGAAAGGTGTATTGTGCATAAATATGTGCTACTCTTGCTTTGGCAGACATAAACACCAAAAGAAAACAACTTCAGAGAAAAATTTCAAGGTTCAGGGTAGTTAGAAAACTAGAGAAGGAGAAAGGGGTAGAAGATATGATTTGTGTTTCTTATTTCTTGAAGAAACACAAGAAAGTAATGGATAACATGAGTTTGCAATGTTACCAAGTGATTGACTACTTAGCAATCAATGATGGTGAAAACTTTCCAACAAGAGGTATGTTTTAGACTTCCTAAAAAACAAATAATCATATTGAATTATATATAATATTGTTTGACATAAGTTTAACTTTAACTTTAACTCTACATTACAGCGAAGTAGTTGGCTGGTTTATAGATTCAATTGAAATAGTAAGGCAACATTGTAATGCTTTGCTCAATGAATGGAAAGTTTCAAGTAATGTGATCACTGCTTGGTCAAACCACCTGAATAACATTGAAATGGAAAAAGATAGGTCTGAAAATGACTTGGTCAGATACTTTTTTGGATTTGACTTCATGGTAAGTTTTTCAAATTAACTTTTATAGTTTAGAATTCTGCATTAAATAAATATTAGAAATCATAATTGGAATTTTTTTTTTTTTTTTTGGAAGGATGCTTTAACAATGTGTTTGAAAGCTCATGGAAAAAAGGGAGTAACAAGTCTGCAAAAATTATGGATTGATTGGAACACTTCACAATCATTGGACTTGGATGCAGCTCAATGTGTAAGACAGAATTAATATTAAAGTAGAACAATATATGTTTAAAGCAATTAAAAATAGGTTTAAAGTTAATATGTTTAAAACAAATCTATATGCAGTTATATATACCTCTGATGTTAGAAGATCATTATTTTCTTGATGTGATAAACTTCAAAGATGAAACAATTGATCATCTAGACAACACTTTGTACGAGACAAATGAAGAATATGAGCCTGTACAGAGTTTTATCTTAGAAACGGTAAAGAATCAATAGATTAAAAAATTATCTTTAAATTCATTTTTCAATATCTTTTATTATACTAATATTCATTGCATTCAGGTGATACAAGTACAGAAGTTGTTTAAAAAAGGAAGCATCCACAGGCAAATGATATGCTGACCTACAAGCTGAGAATAATTGAACTTCCATTCCAAAAAGAAAGAGAAGATAATTTCTCAGCAAGTTATCTACTGTTGCATATGAAGGTTTATGATGGTGCAAATGGCATAGGATTAGAAACAATAACAGAGGTAAGTTACCATACTTATTTTTGAAGTCGTTACACTCTAGAACTAATCTATACTTAGAGTATAATTTATTTTTTTTACAGGAATTTGCAAGACTGGATCACCATCATATAAGAACAGTGCTTGACCTACTTCTCAATGAAAGAAATCAAATGAAATAGAAACTGCTAACAAATGTTAAGGATTGGGAAGAAAAGAAAGAATCAGAACAATTGTAAATGATATCAGTAGACTTGAATATGTCATAGATATTAGATTACTTGAACTTGTGTAGTATTAATGCAAAACTTTTGTTAAGTAGTGGTTGAAGATAAGTTACTGGTGCAGCTTCAATTTCTGCAACTTCTAGTTTTGCTGCTGTAGCTTCTACTTCTGCGGCTGCAGCTTCAAATAGTGCTACTAATGCTACAGTAGCTAATGCTATATCTTTGTAGTTATATGTGTTTTTTTGTGATGGATGAAAAGAGATTTTGGGTTAGTGCAGGTTTAGGGAAATGAATTTCAGAGACTGTTATATAGCAATTTGATAGTTCTAGTATAATATTAGGCCTTATTTTGGTTAGCATCAATTATAAATGTAAAAATTATGTGATGCTATTTGTAATTAAAAATATGGATTTAGCCACTTAATATAATATTTCCAGTTTGTGTTAAAAAAGAATACATATTATATATCTAAGTTAAATTACTAGGATTGTTCTTTCTCAAAAATGATAGTAGATATAAAAGTAAATGTAAATAGTGTTAAAGTAAATAACAATGTGGTTAAAGTAAATGAAATTTTTTTTTTAAAAAAATCTTTCTGAAATGTGGTGTTCGATTTTAAAGTAGAGAAAAATACTTTTAAAGTAATAAAAAAATGAATCAAAAGTAGAGGTGGAGATGGGAAAGAGTATTAAAGTCAAAAAAATGTTATTCGAGTATAAGTAAATGAAAATAATGTTAAAGTAAATAATACTATGTTTAAAGTAAAAGGAAAAAAGTTTTTAAAAAAAACTTTATGAAATAAGGTGTTCAATTTTAAAGTACAAAAAAATAGTGTTAAATTAATAGAAAATGGATATAAAGTAAAGGGAGAAATGGGAAAAAGTATTCAAGTCAAAATCGTTGACCCGACCCAAATGACTCGACGCATGACCCAAAATTGACCCAAAATCATTAACCCAAAAAAGGACCCAAAACCAGAAATTAACCCAACCCAACCCATACCCGACTCGAAAATGGAGTTGACCTAATGTTGACCAAACACCCGAACTCACCTGACCCAAAGTTGACCAACTTGAATTTGACCCAAAGAGTTTGACCCGAAGTGTTTAACCAACCCGAACATGATTAGAAGTGTTTGACCTGAAGTGTTCTACCAACTCGAATGTGATCATACACCAAACTAGGGATGGATCAAGTCTCCTACTTCATTTGCCTCACTAACATCCAGCCTATGTTGATCGAATTACAACCGGCCTTACATCTTATTAGATTTGGTACAATTTAGGTGAGTTTAATAACCGGTCAAATTACATTCAAGTAAAGTCAATAATTAATGGTTAGAAAATTAACTCATTCTAGAATTTTAGTCAAATTTGGTTCAAGTCAATAATTTTACGGGTTATAATCAAGTTGAAATCACCAAGTCAATGATATATGGGTTACATTTGGGTCGGGTCATTTACACGTCAATTCATGTTCAAAATCGGTATCTAATTTGGTACAAGTTTAGGTGAGTTTAATAACCGGTCAAATTACATTCAAGTAAAGTCAATAATTAATGGTTAGAAAATTAACTCATTCTAGAATATTAGTCAAATTTGGTTCAAGTCAATAATTTTACGGGTTATAATCAAGTTGAAATCACCAAGTCAATAATATATGGGTTACATTTGGGTCAAGTCATTTACACGTCAATTCATGTTCAAAATTGGTATCAAATATTCTTGTCAACTCTGGTTCCATGAAAAACGTGACAAGTATTTTAGAACAAAAAATGGATATGGTAACAAGTATTCTAAGACAAAGGGAGTAATATAAGAAATTATCTTTAATTTTGTTAGTAAGAACATTATATAAATCAAATAATTCATATGATATAAAATATGATAAAAGTAAATGAAATATTTCATAAAGTTAAAGTATAATAGCTAAAAGTAAACAAACTAAACTTAAGTTTTGTAGTACAATTACTTATAGTAAATGTAAAAATATTACAATAATAAAAATAATAAAAAAACTATCTGTTCATTAAATCTTGATATTGATCTTCCAAAACATCTTCTAATTTCCAAGTATTAAAATAACTGCATAAAAATAAACATCAGTTATTTGTCACAAATTAAAGTACTACCTCCGTTACATATTAGTTGCAACTTTTGCCAAAACGGGGTGCTACATATTAGTTGCAACTTTCCATTTTTTTTTATTTTAGTAAGTTTTTTTAAATGAAAGTACAAAAATACCCTTACTAAAGAACTTATAAACACAATTAACCATCTAAATTAGATTTCATTACATTCCTAATCTAACTTATTAACATAATATTTTCACCTAATTTAACTCATCTAACACATAAATTAAAAAAACAATTCAATTCCAAAAATCATTCAACTACCAAGAATATCTGAACACGACCTTCTCATCATCGTCGCTGCCGCATCTAACCACCAATGTCACTGTCGCTGGCTCGTTGTTGCATCCACCACCACCGTCAACGCTGTCGCTGCTCATCACCATATTCAAAGTCGCCGCCTACTTCTCCAGTGTTCCTTACTCTCTCTCTCTCTCTCTCTCTCTCTCTCTCTCTCTCTCTCTCTCTCTCTTTTTAATAGTGTAGATCTGATGGTTTGAAGGGTAATTGGACTAGTTTGGGGTTGTTTATGAATGTTTGGTGTGATTCAAGGTGAGGAAGGGTAGTTTTGGCCTAGGTTGGTTTAGGGTGAGTGTGGGTAATCTTGGGGCTGATTGAGGGTGGTGGTTTTGGGGTGGTTTACGACGAGTGTTGGTGGCTTTAGGGAGGTTCGACTGTGAGGAGTTGGTGTCAATGTGGTTAGAGTTGATAGGTGGTGGTTTCGAGTCGTTTGGGTTGAGAGGGGGTGATTTTGGGTTGTTCGCGCTGCGGGGGTGATTTTAGGGTTGTAAGATGGGTGGTCAGCTTGAAATGGGTGGTTTCGGGCTGAGAGGTGATGATTTTGGGGTTGCTCGGGGTAATAGGTGGTGGTCTTAGGGGTTGTTCGGGGTGCGTCTGGGTGGTTCGGCCTTAGAGCAGGTGGTTTCAAGCTGTGAGATGGGTGGTTTAAAGGTGGTTGTTGTTGAACGTTGGTTGTGGTGTGGTTGTTGTTGTTGTTGTTGGTCATTTTTTTAATTACCTCCACTTTCTCTCTTCTACCCTTAATTTACTATTCTTTAATTCAATAATGAACCATTATGAAATTTTGTCTTAGAATCTGTGCCAAGCTCAAAGTTGCAACTAACTTGAAACGAAGGTAGTACATAAATTAGAATGTAAAGTAAATAAATTACAACTTAAAGTAAATAGAAAACGTAAAGAGATAAAATACCAAATAAAAAAAATTACAAAGTATAATAACACATGCACAAAATAAAAAGTAAATGAAGTTACTGTTAAAGTAAATAAATAGTAGTTTAAAGTAAATGGAACACACTTAAAAGTAAAATACCTGAAAGACTACTTGTTTGGATAGTTTCTACTGTCATGGAAAATACCAGATTGCCCACAAGCTCTACAAGTTCTGCCTTTTTTAGATTTTTTTTCACTAGGTATTTCTTTTGCACTCTTCAACCTCTTTGAATTTCTGGCAGAACCTTTATTAAGACACTGATTTGGAGGCAAGACATTTACATCAACTTCATTTGACCCAACCAAAACCCGAATATCAGCATCTTTCACCTCTTTTGAACTAGGTGCATTTTCAGGATTATTCTTTGATATCATCTGCTCCTCAAATGAAGATAATGTCCTAATAAGCTCAGATAAATCATCCTCAGATTGGTCAGTTAAACTCACACAAATGAAAATCTTGGACCATACATCACTGACCAATTGCTTCTTCTTATCATACTTAGAAGCATCAACCAGAGCAACATCTATTACAGAAGCTTTCTTCAGAACATCTTTTCTCCAACGATTCAAGATATAAGCATTAAGAATTTCACGTATACACTTGCCTTTCATAACAAACAAAATGTATCTACATAAAACACCTTGACTCTCAAACATTCTACAAGTACAACTTGACTCATATGTTGCCAAGTCAAAATTTACATCAAAATTTTTCCTTTTCTCATGATCAACAATAACAGAAAACTCCACAGCATCTCCATACAGAGAACTACAACTTTCAACACCACATGAAAAACAGGCTTCCTGGCATTCTTCTTGAAAATCATAAAATATGGAACAAGTATAAACAACAGCAGCATGCTTTTCCAAGTGTAAATTAGTAACCAATTGAGGCTCAAGTTTATTAAGCCTGTACAACTCATTATGTTCATGCCTTTGAGCATCAAGAGCAGTTTCATAACGGACAAAGAATTCAACACAGGTCACATGAAGGTTTGCAAAATTATAAAAGAAATTATTTTCACCTTCAGACCTAGATGTAGAATGCAGTAACCCACCCATAAATAAGTCCCTAAAATATGCAGGAATCCAAAGATGTTTAATCTTAAACATGTATGCAAACCACTCATGATCAACAAGGTTAAAGTCCTCCATAACATTATTCCAGCCATCAACAAATACATGAGGATCAATCTCTCTATCCCAAACTACTGCACTTAGCTTTTTCAGGAAATCAGTTTCATTACAAAAAGCAGTCCCAACCTTTTCAGGTACCTTAGCTTCCTCATTATGTGCCACATACATAGCCTATGTTTAGTCTTGGTAAAACCTTTTCTATGGCAATACCCATTGCAGGATCTTAATCAGTGATAATACAAGAGGGTTCTCTTCCCATACACTTCAAAAAAGTTTGAAATAGCCACACAAAAAAATCTATGTCTTCTTTAGATAATAAAGCAGCACAAAATGTAACACATCTCTTGTGATTATCAACACCAGTAAAAGGACAGAAAACCAATGAATATTTATTTGTATCATAGGTAGAATCAAAAGATAAATAGTCCTTAAATAATTGATAATCTCTTCTACCAATAACATCAGCCCAAAAGACACGGGTCAAATGCCTACTTTCATCAACACAGTAATCAAAATAATAACCCCCACTACTGATTTTCACTTTTTGTTTAAGGTTCTGAACAAACATTACACCATCAACATTAGAGATATAAACTTTCAAGTCCCTAGAAAAATTTTTGAAATCATTTTTACTGCCCCTGACATTTTGAAACCCACCACAAAGTTCTTTCATGATCCTATAAGACATAACAACCCCTATATTTAACTTTGAGTTGTCAAAAATAAACTTCTTATGAGCAAAATTTAAACCAACTTCATGTTTAGTAACCTGCCTAGTAATAGGAGTAGAAAAAGGGTGAGAATGAGATTCATAAAAACAATACACCATATACTGTCCACCAGTACAAAACCTAAATTTTATCTTAGCAGGACAACCAACTCTCTTCACAATCTTTCTCTTTAAACAAGCACCTTCAACTTGTTTACCAGATTTCTTGTTATTTGTCACATACCCTTCTTTGCTACATAATAAATATTTAATTATAGTAACTCCTTTACCAGTAGGATCATTCTTATTCTTTTGTGATTTAGTAGTACTAGAACGGACTTTAAATCCACACTCATTAGCATATTTGTAATAAAAGGCAATACCATCTTGAAGGGTATCAAATATCATTCCAACAAAAGGTTTGTTTTCAAAAGAACAACATGGCATATACTCTTTATCACCTCCAGAATTATAATATATTTTAGGAAGAAAAGGCTGAGTGGGTGTTTTAAAAATTCTTACATTGTTATCTTCAGTAGTGACAAAAGAAGAACAATGCTCTATGCTTTCAGACATGTTCCTGAAAAGTAAATGAATAGAAGGAAAAAGTAAATAAACAATAAATAAAAGTAAATAAACTATAACTAAAAGTAAACAATATTTTTTTAAAATATACTAATAAAAACTATTAGAGATATACTAAAAAGTAGATACCTCAAAGCATAAAGTAAATTAAAAAAATTAAAAAAACTTGAAGAAACTAAAAAACATGAAGTTATAAGAATTAAGTAAAACCAATAATGAAAAGTTAATGACTGGAAGCAAAAAGTAAATTTAAAATAACAACAAATTATACTACTAAATTAATAACAGCAAGCAATATACCAACTATATGCAGAAAACAACTTACATTGAATCCGTAAGTGTAAAACCATAAAATAGGAATCAAAAACTAATATCGTAAAGATAAAACCCAAAATCAAACACTAAATTGTATAGAATAATTCAAAAAACAATTAACAAGCAAAAATTAAGAAAAATTACAATAAAAAACCCTAAATCGAAAAACTCAGCTCAAAATAAATAATACAATCAAAATAAACAAACAAAATACATATATCATTACAAAATTACCTCAATGAATGAAAAAAATTGAAGAATAAGATATAATTGAAGATCAAAATCAACAAATCTGAGCAAAAAATTCGCTAAATCGAAGAACTCAGTAGCGGCAGAGAGCTCAATGTTAGAGAGAGAAAATGAGGACGCGAAGAGAGAGAAAATGAAAGGAAGAGAGAGAGAAAGAAAGGAAGTCATTCAAAGTGGCAAAATTACCAAAGTTCCATTACTGAAATGAAAAACGCGGGTGGGATGTCAGCCATTGGATCAAGGACGATCAACGCACAAGATTAGTTCCTAGTTCCAATTCTATGCTTAGGTTCCTACTAAAATACAATTATTAATTAACATTGAATTTGCTACTAAATGGCCTAAATTTGCTGTTCGATTTGCCTCTCTGTACACGTGTCTGATGCTCTAGTTGTCAAAGTTTGTCCAAAGAATACGAGAGTCTTCAATGATGTTTTGGATTTGCCAAGGGGTTGACCACTTGCCTGTTATTGCATTGACAATAAGTAAGTTGTCACCTTCGATTTCGATGTTTGTGGCACCCCGATGAAGCGCTAGCATTATGCCTTTGTATGAACCTTCCAATTGCTCACCCCTTTTTTCTCCATAAAATTACACTACCAATAAATAATACTTCCTCGGTTCTTTTTTACTTGACTTGTTTCTTTTATCACATTGCCAATGCACAAGTTTAACCATCAATAATTATAATACTCTATAAGTAAAAATTATAAAAATTATATGTTGTGATAGTATTTATTTAGACGATTCTAACAAGATTCTACATGAATATGTTTTTCTTTACCTATAATTCACAAAAGACGGTCAAATGTGGATTGATAAATAGTGTAAAAGTCAAAACGGGTCAAGTAAAAAAGAACGGAGGAAGTACATTTCAATTCACAAATTCACAATGCTACTAACATTTTCAGCTTTCAAAATTACTAGATAAAGTGTCATATGATAAAGTGTACAAATTTGGCAAACGGAGAAGACCTCATTACAAGTTTGTCACAAACTTACACCTCGTGCACCCTCGTGCACCCATACGGAAAAGCCACTACCAACACTTGTACAAATAAATGTACATAATTTTGCACTTTATAAAGTGTACACCACTCCTTAGATAAGTCATGCTAGGAAACATGCTAACTGATATCCTTGCAACTGTTTTTTTAGTGATAGTGTTAGTTTATGTGCCATTGCATCTCATCAATTCACTATGGTTAAAGCCAAAGAGGCTGGAGAAGTGCTTGAGGGATCAAGGCTTTCGGGGCAATCCCTACCGTCCGATCTATGGTGATCTTGCCGAGATCACTGGCATGGCTAGATCTTCACTCTCTAAATCCTTCACATCACTCACTCATGATATTGTTTCTCGTATCTTACCGTTTTTGCATCACACCATTCAACAATATGGTATGTTATAAATCTTATAAGTACTTTAATATGAAGTATCTTTTATCGTTGTTCATTTCATTTATATAAACTTTTCAATGCATATAAACATTTATATTTCTTAAACCTTTTTAATTATATCAATGTGTACTCTAGTGATTGTTGTCATATATAATACTTTCTCCGTTTATTTTAGCTAAACACTTGTGTTTCAATAGTTTGTGTTAATTAGTGCATATTTTAAGTTGTTCAGATATTTAACCAATAGTTTAAAATCAAAACATTACAAATATATATAAGAGTGTATTATATTCACCTGATTTTTACTTATCTAATATAAATAATCTAAACTTAAATAAAGATATTTGAATTTATTTTAGTTGTAATTTGAATTTGATTATCAAAATTTATTTTTTTCTGAAATGAACTTATTAGAACCGAAATTAGTGAAAATAGAGGTGAACAAAATAGTTAATATTATACATTTTTATATAGGGAAGGAGTCCTTTATATGGTATGGTAGAAATCCAAAGATTAACATTACAAAGATTGAGTTGATTAAGGAGATATTTACCAAGTATGAGGTATTCACCAAACAGTCTCCGGCAAAGAAAACAATGTTTGGATTACCAATGCGAGAGGGTGAAGATTGGGCTAAAGTCAGGAAAATCATCAATCCCGCTTTTGAAATCGAAAAGTTGAAGGTAATCCTTATTTATATACATGCCATGTGAAATTTTCAACTAGTGTAATATTTCGTATAAGAGCATGTTTGGTAAGTGTAAGTTTTTTTTTCCTTATAAATGAATTTAATTAAGCAATTATTATTATCAAATGTTTAGTTAAAGGATTTGATTAATAATCATCGTCTAGGGGTATGTTTTCCAGTCTTTCCACCTATTTATTACACCGCTAAAACCTTAGATAAACATTACACTTACACTCTTCAAATTGAAAAAAAAATAACAATAAGTTGTAAATGATACTTTTCCATGATTAAGATTAACCAAATATAATGAAAATGTAAGAGTTTAATGATTTTATTCTCCCCTCTTATTTGTTTCCTTTTCATTATGATTCCAACGTTTGTACCAAATGCCCCAACTTGTTCTTTATCCGCTATTTGTTTTGAAATCTAAAGCAAAACTTTAGAAACCATGAAAATGTAGTTTATGCTTTTTAAAAAAATTAACTTGAATAATAAGAGTAAAGTAATTCATGAGATACTAGTAAAGTACTAAGGACATGATTATCCATTTAAACTAAATATTGACAGTTTTGATGCTTGTTTTGACTTTTGGCTTTAATTATGTATGTATGTGATGCTAGAGTAATTTTGAAGCAAATTACAATTGTTTTGGATTTCATCTTGAAAAAGGATGGGAAAGAGAAGGATTTGATGGTGATGGATAAGAAGGGTTTGGAGGTTTGGGAATGGCTGAATTTGAGATAGTGGAATTTGGTGGAGGGGGAGGTGGAGGGGGAAGGGAGGAGAGAGAAAGTGGCGGTAGAGGGGGGTTGCTATATGGTGGTGGGGTGGGGGTCTTTGTTTTTTTTTTTTTTTTAAAAAGTACACTTTAATAATCTTAACTATAACCGATTTACTTTTAATAATCCCAACTATTGTGTACTTGGAGAAGTCCCAATTACCGATAACCTTCTTAAAGGGTAATTCTTTTTTTTTTTTTAAAAAGCCACGTGGCAACAAATGATTGCTCCAAATATTTTTTTTATAAAAACGAATAAGAAAAAACCCATCCCAACCATCCCTAACCCCAGAGAAACCAAGCCCACCTCTAACCCCCATCGGAAATCGGCCACGATCGGTCGGCCTCCCTGCCACCCTCCTGAGACACCAAAATCCCTCCCCTCAACTGACTTTCGACCTCTTGTCCTTACTCCCACTCCGGCAATCAGCCCCCACCCCAACCCCACAGCTGAAACCGCCACGCCCACCCCCACTTCCCACCACCAATTTCCAACCACACCCTCCCTTCCCACACCCCACCCCCAAAATCGACTAATCGATCTCCCCTTCTATCGGGATCTGGGAATTTGATGCAGTGTGTGGAAGGGAAAGGGGGGTGCGAAATCGGTGGTGTGGGTAGGATTTCCGGGGCTAGGGTAAGGGAGGGGTGGTCGGCAATTGGTGGCGGGGGCTGGGGGGAGTGGCTGGGTGTTTTCAGCGGTCGAAAATCGGCGCCGGATGCAGGGGGCGGTCAGATTGGGCGTGGGTATGGTGGCTGTGCCGTAGCTGGCGTGGTGAATGGTATTTGTTTTTTTTTAAAAAAATATATTTTAAAGTTTTTTTTCAATTTTTTCTAAGTATTTTTTTTTTTTTTTTTTTGGGACCAAACACATGTTGACACATGATTTGGTATCCTGTAGTTGAAGGTTATTGACCATTTGTTGATCGGTTGGGACTAAGGCACTTTACCCCAATAGTTGGGATTATTAGATAATAAATCTTAAATGGGATTATTAAAGTGTATTTTATCTTTTTTTACTTATAAATAAATTAAATTATTGAATGGTTAAGTTGGAATTAAAAGATAATTAAAAGAAATTAGAGGATGATTAAGTGAATTAGAAACGATATATTTTCTTCAACAAAAAAAATTACAATCGGGTTTTCTTTTGCCAAAATGTTTCAAATCGAGTTTATTTTGCTATAAAGCTTTTAAAAGATTTTTTTTTTCACAAAATGGTACTTTTAAAATATTTTTTTGGCAAATTTTCCTATGTTTTATATTGTCACATTTCTTTGCATTATCAATTTTCTTTTCTAAGTTACATTGATTAAATATGGTATCATGTTCAGAATATGTTGCCAACAATGGAAAAATGTTGTGACAAAATGATACGTAAATGGGATGAAGTGGTAGCAACATCTGGTTCAGCAGAAGTCGATGTGTATTCCTCTCTTAGTATGTATTCCGGCGACGTAATTGCAATAACATCTTTTGGAAGCTCTTATGAAGAAGGTGAAAAACTATACAAGCTCCAAGAAGAAGATTTATCCCTCACTTTTCAAGCAATGCGGACCATGACTAACTACATTCCAGGATGGAGGTATGATCGATACAATTTTTTTTTTAATTCAAGCTAGTCTTTTGGCCATTGCGACTGTTTTTTATGGTACATAATTTTTTTTATATGTGGTTAGTCACACTGTATGACTTGAGTTACTTCTAAATGTTACTTATACATAAGTAATCCATGAATAAATAACCCTACTATAAGTAACCCGACTAAGTAACCCCTAACTGATTAAGTAACCCCTAACTGACTAAGTAACTCCTTAATCCGACCACAATAAAAAAAAAATTGTTTAATGTATCATATAGTTAACCTACTAGCATAGAAAACTGGAATGTTAGGGAGATGTGAACATTAAGAAGAAAAAAAGGAGCTAGGTTACCTATTACTAATTCATTATATACAAATATGGGTGGTGGGACAGGTATGGATTTTAGAGTAAACTGGTCTCATCCCCGCCCCACCCCACCACGCACCTTATACCCGTCTTATACTACTTTTTGTAAAGGTTGTAATAAGTTTGGAAGAGCTTAGAATCTAGACTATAATAATATAATAAACATAAAATATTTACTAATAACATAAACGTCATATGAATTTCGCAAAGTGGATGAAAAAGAGGTTTATTAGATATGACAATTCTTCATATTATTGTCATACTATGTCATTATGGCAGCGGGTATATGGGGCGGGTTTGAGGAGGGTTTGGGTATCCAAATGGGTGGTGGGACGGGGATGGATATTAACTTGCATCCGGCGGAGCGGATATGGATATGGATATGGATATTGTACCCGCCATGGGTGGTGGAGCGGGGATAAGTATAAGATTTTTAGGCGAGTATGGGTGTGGAGGTATCACCCTCCGCTTTCGACCCGTCTCATTATCATCCCTATGATAAAACGAACGGAATGTTTATAAGTAGAAAAAAAAATTGGGATTTGTATTCAATGGGTGTAATGTACTAGTACTCCACATAGATATGAATGTTTAATCACCTTAAATCATATAAAAGTTTAGCTAAATCAGGCTAAGCTTGGTCTAGTGGTAAGTTTGTTACCTTTCAACCTTGAGTTTGGGGGTTCAATTTCCACTAGTGACACTTTGAGGGTGGGGATCCCTTACTCTTCCCCCTCACTCTCATCAAAGTGTATGATCTACAAATAACGAACAAAAAAAAACCGTGAAGGTTAAGGTACAGTCTAATTTCCCATGTTCCTCTTATATACATGTAATTTCATACGTACTATCCTATCTCCATTTTTTAGTTGACACGTTTTGATTTTAACACTATTCACACACTGCTTTTTGACCGTGTTTTATGATTTATATTTAATGAAAAATATAGTCATGTGGGATCTTATTAGATTCGTTACGATATATATTTTCAATATAAACTTTTCATAATTTTTGCTTATAGGTAATTAAATCTATGAATGGTTGAAGTTGTGCATTTGGCAAACGTGACTATAGAAACATGTCAACTAAAAAGAAACGGAGGAAGTATTTGATTTTAGTGTGAAAGCATTATTATAATATAGCTTCGATTGTAAGCTTATTACCTTATAGTTTCTCTTTTTTTTTTTAAAGTTGACACCTTTTTATTATCACATTTGTCAAAGCATGCTTTTAACGCTTAATAAGTTCAATTATCAACATTGTAAAATTATTAAAAAGGATATTAATAAAATATACATACAGAAGATTCAAACAAGATCCCACATGACTATATTTTATTGTAATTATAAGTCACAAAAGTGAGTCAAAATGTGTAGTATATAAATAGTGTAAAAGTCAAATGGTGTGAATTAAAAAAACGAAAAAAGTATTTCACTTCAAACTTAAAAAAAGCATTTTTATGGTCACTATAAAATGTGTGAACTCGATCGAATGAAATGGCATGTTTCTAGTGCATTCGAAGGACCTCACATGGAAAATATACTTTCTCAAGAACATACACTTCTTAACAAAGTTAAACGTTTGAATTTCCGATATATATATATATATATATATATATATATATATATATATATATATATATATATATATATATATATATATATATATATATATATATATATCATACATTTTGCACTAACTTGGAAAATATTGATCTTAAACTTTCAGATATCTACCCACCAAGGCTAATCGTAGGAAAAAGAAACTAGATCGAGAAATCAAGGAGACTGCAAAGACATTGGTGGATAAAAGAAAAAAATTAAAGCAAATAAAAGACTCTAAGAATAAAGATGACTTGCTAAGTGTAATGTTAGAATCAAATGAAAAAGAGATTGAAGAAGATGGAGTTGGACTGCCAATGGAAGATTTGATTGAAGAATGCAAGTTATTTATGTTAGCCGGAAAAGACACAACTTCTTCTTTATTAACTTGGGTAATGGTGCTCCTTTCTCAACACCAAGATTGGCAAAACAAAGCTAGAGAAGAGGTCTTGTCACATTTTGGGAAAGATTATACTCCTGATTATAAAGGCCTTAATAGCCTTAAAATAGTAAGTCCGCTCATCCTTGATATATACTTCGTACTTCGTATTATCGATCTTATACATCAATACATGGGATTTGTTCAACTAGATTGTATAAACCTTTGTATTTGTAAAGGTGTGTCACTTAAAATTTTAAATAGGGAAGAATGAAGAAGTTATTAAGTAAATAGAAATTTGAAGTTCTGATGTGGTGTAGTTTAATGTGGTCATATTCAAACAAGAATAACCCTTTATGAAAGACTTGTGAAGAAATTATCAAGTAAATAGAATTTTGAAGTTCTAATGTGGTGTAGTTTAATATGATCATATTCAAACAAGAATAACTCTTAAAGAAAAACTAAAGAGAACACGTTGAAACTTGGAATAAGATTTTTTTTCATTGAGCTTTATATATGATTTAACACTCTCTCTTACATTGTTTTTCTCCACTTATTTACAAGTTTAAGCATAATCAATTTATTTACAAGTTTAAGCATAATTGATGAGTTAGAAGTAATAAATCGCAATATGATAGGAATATGTAATATCCTTTTGGAATATATTGAACATAACAAGTTATTGAAGTTTGGAAGTAGCTGGAGTTATTTTCTTGAGTTTCATGATTTTACATACACTCACACACTGTCATTCTAAATTGCAGATGAATATGATTATAAATGAGACATTGAGAATCTACCCACCAATTGCAACTCTCTCTCGAATAATCCACACAAATACAAATTTGAAGCAACTAACTCTACTCAGTGGAATGGAGATAAGTATGCCATTGAGCATGGTGCATAGAGATCGTGAACTATGGGGAGATGATGCGTCTGAATTCAATCCGAATCGATTTTCAGAAGGAGTGTTAAGTGCATCGAAAGTTCCGGGATCTTTTTTCCCTTTTGGTGGTGGACCTCGAATTTGTGTTGGAAAAAATTATGCATTGATAGAGTCTAAGCTTGCCTTGACAAAGATTCTTCAACGCTTCTCATTTGAGCTCTCCTCATCTTATGTTCATGCACCAATATTTGAATTGGCATTGGTGCCTCAATTTGGTGCACAACTTATCTTGCACAAGATCTAGGTTATGTTAATGCTATGCTACGAAATTCATTCTCTATATCTTTAATCAATATTTTGAATTGTAATAAATTTTACAATGGTTATGTTCAACTATACTTTGTATGATTTTGAATTTTGATGAACTAGTTGAAAAAGCTGCTCAAGCAGTATTACCGGCTAAGGTTTAACTTCTTGTTAGTTTGCTCTTTATATATATATATGGGGTCGGCTATTGGGCAATGCAAACAGCCAAATAGCACAGGGCCTCGTATTGATTGGGGCCCCAAAACTTGAAATTGTCAGAAAGTACTATATAAAATTTAGTTATTGAGCTTTAATATCTAAAGAAGAAGTTGGCTGAGATGGTAATGCACGTGACAACAAATCTTATAGGAGAGAGATAGAGAGAAAGAAATGTCAAAAGTAGAAAGTGTTGCAACTAATTAAAATTTTCCAAAATATGAAAGTGTAGCAATTAAATAGAAACGATGGAAGTATATAAAAATTTATTAACTATTTATTTATTTGACTAAAAAATGCAAAGTATTTTGAATTATAGGGGAATGACTATTTTTTTTGGCAAAGAGCCCCCAAAAAGTTTAAGACGGCCAAATATATATATATATAATTGAGATCATGTGAGAACCAAGGTAAATAATAGGAACTAGGAACTAATCTCAGCCATTAATCGCTCTCCGTCTAATGGCTTACATTGCACCATGTAGACACCTACAAATGTCTTCCCAAAACCAAACCCGATGATGAACAACCTTTCACCGTCATTATTGGATGGGTTGAGTATTTAATATTTGGAGTGCTTAAATCCATATTCTATCCAATACATTTCATAAACCAATCCATTTCCTAGCTCATTTCCCTAAACCATAGCTTGTTTTCCTCTTTTCGTGCTCACATCACGAAACCGAGAGAAACTGATTTTGTGACCAAATAATTTTGATCCAATTATTATTTGGTTGGATAGGCCTTGAAATAATCTTTCCATCCATATATCATAAGCCCAATTCCGATTTAAAACGAAGAGGATATGAGCAAAACACTAAACTCGGCCCAAAACCGACACCCTTCTACTAAAACGGCCATATCTTAAAATCTACAAATAATTTTGGCCTTATTATAATTGGGTTGGAAATTATAATTGATAAGCTTTCCAATAATATATTATATGCCTTATTTCGAGTTACGGATCAAAAGTTATGATGATTTTAAAAACAAAACTGGAATTACCGCGCACATTGTAAAAGCACCATGTCACGGCGCCTGATGACGTGGCACGGTGCCTGGTGCCGTGACACGGTACTTTACGTGTCACGGTGCTATTTTCAATGTTTTTTCGCGTGAAACTCCACCGTGGCACGGTACCTTTTCGCCGTGACACGGTACCTGTTGCCGTCATCGTGTCACGGTGCTTTTTCCGTGTAATTTCCTCATTTTCTCACGCACTTTTTTACCATGACCGGTGTACTGTACCGTTCCACGGTGGACACTGCCGTGTCACGGAATTTTCTCGTGTCTTTTTTGCGTAAACCCTTCACGCGTTTTTACTCCCGTAGGTCAAATATTTCCCGCGTCACTCCAAAGTATGTCGCGTCACACAAGAGTTTCCTGTGTCACGACAATTTTTGCCGTGTCTCGACAACCTTTTTTAGGGTTTTTATCATTTTAGGGTTCCGTGTGTTCCCTCTACTCATTTTCCCTATAAATACTCCCTCATTTCTGCAGTCCGGGGCATCAAATCTTTCTCTCTTACTCTCTTTTATACCAAAAATCATTTTCTTCTCTCTCTCTCTCTCTCTCATATTCTAAGCCTTAAACCTACATTTCTAATTACACCATTCTTCCCTTAAGCCCTCCAAGGAGTCCATACGACACCCGAGGTTCCGTCCTTAAACCAAGGCGTGAAAGGTATAAATAACTGAGGGTTTGGACCAAATCAACTCTACTTTTTATTTAATTTAATTGTTTCAATTTGATTTATATATTTATTGAAGTTGCTAACGGTTTATTCATGATGTAGCAATTTCAAGAAAACGCCGAAAGTGAGTAATTAATCACTTAATTACTCTTATTTTTATTCTTGTTGCTAGTATCATGATTAGGTTTATTTATTATTTGGTTTGACTAATGCTATTATTGTGGAATTGCTTCCAATATTAATGTTTATTCTATTATTATTTATGATCACCATATTGCATATTTAAAAGGAATATGTAATTGAAAATCACGCCTAATAAGATAATTTGGACAACCGGTTTAGGTTCCTTTTTAATCTTGTTGTTTAATCAAGTGATCATAAATTTTAGAATTATGTGTTGCATTAATATTAAACCAATTTAGCATAATAATTTGGAGCAAATTGAACCTTTGTTTGCATGCCTTTGAGATCGCAGGAATCACTTTTCACTATAAGAATCGAGTAGAGCCCAATACGGACGAATGTGACTCCTCTCACTTCGTACCGTCATCCCCGATCCTCCTTTCGTGGTTCCGAACCATATGGAGTTAGTAATCTCATGGATTATGAATGGGGTGTAACCTTCACGAGTCAATCGTTGTTGTCTTTCGTTGTCCCTTATTCGTGGATGCCTTTTATGATTCGTGAATGATTTACAAGTTCCTTAAAAGCTTGTTGGCGGCTACTTTTCTTATCCCTAATTGTATATGTCAATTCCCACTTTCTATGAGTGTCAAGCATATTCACACATGCTTTAACGTAGGCGCACTTCGAACGACGCCTACACACCCGCTCTCATTAATGGCATTCTCGTAATTTCGCTGTTTTCAAACTTTTTTCCAGATTTTTTTTTTAACTTTTAAGGAAATTTTGTTTACTTTAAAACTAATTTCATTTACTTTTACTAATTTTTCATTTACTTTTGAGAAATGAAATTAACTTCTTTATAAAGTTAAAATATTACAAAACTGCCATTAATGACAAGGGAAGCATGCGAGCCATCCGATTAACATGATCTAAGGGGTTAGATTAGTTCCTAGTTCTTATTTTAGTCTTGATATATATATATATATATATATATATATATATATATATATATATATATAGTTTGCTCATAGTTACATTTGCTTTAAAATTGGTTTGATGTGTTTTTTTTTTTTTAACATGAGAAATGGTTTGATGTAGCATGTCAATGTTTGTGCTAGCTTGGGTCTCTTGAGTCTTGAGAATACGGAACAATTAGGGAAATTTAAATGGAAAATTATTTCAACCCTTCCATCCCAACACTCCCCTTTTTTTGCCATCCCACAATACTTGACACATTACCAATTTTGAAAAGGGACCAATATTATAAAATTTATGGGCCCATTGCTTGCCCCACTTAGTTTTCCAGCAATAAAAAAATCCAAAAGTTCATCTTTCTAAGTAAACAAATATATTAAAAGAACTCACTTAGATTTTTATTAAACTGCGTGCTCTCTTTAACATCCCAAGTATTGTGGGACGAAAGGAATACCTAAAAACTACTCAAAAACTAGTGTCAAAAACGCCCTTGGTACGCCATCACAGCTTTACACCATCCACTAGGTACAATGTGGCTACGCCCACCTTCTAGTTGATAGATCCAAAATTATTTATGAGCGAATCTATTCATGTGCACCATTTGTGCACATGACTCACAAGTAAAAAAAAAAAATTATGTTTTCTTTTTAAAAAAATATCAAAAAGACTGCTTATTACAAATAGGGGGTCTCTTTGATGTTGCTACTTGCTACAAAGCGTTGCGTGCCTGTGTCACATCGACAGTGTTTTTTTTTAAATATCAAAGACGCCGGTTATTTAGATAACAGGTCTCTTTGATGCTTCTATTCATGATTGTTCGCTGCTTTTTTTCATCAAAGAGACCGGCTATATTTAATAACCGGTCTCTTAAGTTATCTCACTTTTTTGTATAATATTTTTTATTTTTTTTTATAATTTTTGTTTCTATTTATATCCTATATTTGTGCAACCAATTTTAATATGTACCCACAAAGCTTATCAATTAATTAAAAAAATCATAAATTTATTTTAATGTAATAGTTTTACAGTACCATTTGTTTGTAACATGTTATTTGTATTACTTTCGACTTGTAAGATTGAATTTTTAAGTATAATTTGGTTGTAGTATAGATCTTTATTTGTGTCCTATTTTTGGATTGAAATCAATTTGGTAAAATGTAATTTTTTTTATATAATTTTTGGAATAAAATAAATTATGAACAAGATTTAGGAAAAAAAAATATTTGTATCAATAATTGATGGTGACTCACCTTCTCGAAAATCCTGGATCCGCCACTGAAAGTATTACTCCATTTCAAAAGTGAAGTTATCGACTTCCTTAGAGTCTCTTGTGCTATTAAAGATTCAAGGTTTGGGTTGTTTCATATTTCAACCTCTAACTCCCATAAGACTTCATGGGGCGCGCATCAAGGTTAGACATTTATATATTGTGCGACTCATTTTACAACCCTAATACACAATCAAGATATGTGCTTCACGAACTCATCGATTGTGGTTCCAATTCGCTCATTATGAATTTCTTGTCCGATCAAAATTTCCTTGAGGTGGGGCTATTTTTCTTTCAATGAGGTCCATTTCTTTGACTTGACACTCAAGCTGGTTAAGTATATTTCCGAGTGATTCTATTTCAATTGACCCCCTTTCTGTTGATCAATATGGTCTTTGATTGTCGGGGTTCAAACCTGATGAAAATTCCAATCTTTATGGTTCAAGTGTTTTGACAGTGGATCTATTCTGGTACGGAGCAACACAGGCGAGATGTGCAACCAAAGGACACTCTTGTCTATGGACACAAAAGTAGGAAAAAGTGTTGATTGAGGCTTGTGAAGACCATATAATAAAAGACAAACATGCCATATAGTAAAATGAATTTAAAAAAAAATCACATAAAATAAAAAAAATAAAAGAAGAAGAAGAAGATAATAACAATGATATAATTAGAACATAACTCAAACCTAACATGGCCTTACTTGAAGTCTACCCACATTCAATAAAAACCTTAAAACCTCTATCAACCTCTCAAGAATCAACAACGAACTAATTTGAACCCAAGCATATAAAAACCCAAATAAACCCAACACGCCAAATTGACCTATTTTGACTTGATTAAATAAATCGGTAAATCCTACTCCACTAACAGTGCTATGCATTAACCTAAAACTAACTCAACAACCTATATCGACGAGAGAGTGAGGGATAGATCAAGTGGTTAGAGCTTCCCTCCCGATTCTAGGAGGTCCCGGGATCGATTCTCACCCCGCTCTTGTGGCTCTCTAAACACCACAAAAACAAAAAAAAAAAAAAAAAAACCTATATCGACACCTCTACGGTGAGCTCTACTCCCTCCATTGTTTAATATAATTCCTGTTATCCTATTTTGGGAATCTTAAATTCTATTATACTCTTACTTTTTTAACTTTATTTATTGTAGTTTCTAATTTATCCTTGATTTTTGCACATGCTTTGTACTTTTTTCCATTTTTTTCTCTCTAACTTTTATCTATGATTGCGCTTTTCACTTTTATAAATGTAATTCATCTACCAAAAGTGAATATCAATGGGAGACGGAGGAAGTATTTCTTAAATGCCGTAAAAAACACAGACAAAATCTATATTATGGGACAAACGGAGTACATATTCCAATTTTTCCCTTCAACCAATTTCCCAAAACCAAAATTTATAAAGTGAAAAAAAAAAAAAAAAAAAAAACTCCAAACACGCGCCACCGAATCCCATATTCTCTCTCCTACCTTCATCTCCCGACCCCAAAATCCCCCCTTGTTGAAATCAAACCCCAGATTGAATCACCCTAACCCAAATGACAACCTATGGCACCATTCCCACTTCCAATTCACCCGACCCACCTCCATTAACAAACCTCCATTTCATCTCCCACGCCAAACACAAGATCCAATCTACCTACACCACCCATCGCCGTCCATGGAACCTCTTACTTTCTCTCTCCTCCCTCTCCCTCTCCCTCCCCTCCTCCTTCAACGACGTCGTTCTCCGGATCAAAACCAACCTCTCCTTCTTCCGTATGAACTACGCCATCATCACCCTTCTCATCCTCTTCTGCTCTCTTCTCTGGCACCCCATCTCCCTCATCGTCTTCCTCTGCACCATGTCCGCTTGGCTGTTCCTCTACTTTCTCCGCGACACGCCGCTATTTGTTTTTGGGTACATCGTTGATGATAAGATTGTGCTTGCGCTTCTTGCCGTCTTGACCGTGGTTTTTCTGTTGCTTACTGATGTCACAGCGAATATTGTTGTGGCACTTAGTGTTGCAGTTGCTGTGATTGTGGTTCATGCCGCGGTGAGGAGGACGGATGATCTTCCGCTCACCGTGGCTGGGTTTGATGATGAGAGTGACGCGCGTGGTGGGTTTAGTCGTGGTTTTGGTGGGTTGGGTGAACGACTCCCTTTGAAGGATACGGCGTCGTCTTCGTTTTCGGCTTCCAATTGAAATTCTGGACTTTATTCAGAAATTGTAATATTTGTGAGTTCGTTCTTCACTTTTTTATTTAATTTTTTTTTTGTTGTGCTTAAAATTTTAGTGAATTAGTGATTTTTGTTTAAATTATTTTAGGGAAATAGGTGAGTATAATCAATTTCATGTAATTTTTTAAGTTTAATTTTTATCTTCAGCATGATCATAGGTTGAATTTTTTTTTTTTTTTTTTTTCGGAATTATAGTTTAGAAATTTGTATGCTGGTGTGAAATTGATTAAATTGTTATTTTGTTGTTCAAGTTTTTAATGCCAATTTCATTGAACATTTTCCTTGTTACTCCGATTTTTTTTACTTGATTAATTTCCATTTTGTAAGCAAATGTTTCTCTACTTGTGTAAACTCTCTTGTACCAGGCAATACATGGTGTGAGATCTTGTTATTCACTTATTTGTACTAGTTTTAGTATGTGACCAATAAGAACATGTATGACAAATTGACGAGGAACTCTTGTCGAAATTTAGAATTCAGATCATTTTTCTTGTTACTTGTACTACCATGTTACGGTAAGAACATTAATGATGAGGAACTGTTATCGAATCTTTGAAATAAATGTTCTGGATGTAGGTTCTCATTGTAATTGAGTGATAATGCTACTTAACTCTTTATGCTTATTGAATCTTCGAAATAAGAGTCTGTTCCGATTAACTGAACTTAACTGAATTGAGCTGAACTGAACTGAACTTAATTAGTGATTTTTAACTATTTTTTTTAGGGAATAGTGATTTTTAACTACGGATTAGTGATCTTTGATTATTTATTGATTATTTATTACTATACATTTGTATATATACAAATGTACATATTATAATTAATAATAATATTATTATTATTATTAATTATTAATTATTGATGATTATTATTATTATTATTATTATTATTATTATTATTTATTGATTATTATTATTATTATTATTATTATTATTATTTATTGATGATTATTATTGTTATTTATTGATTATTATTATTAGTATTATTATTTCAATTATTATTGTTATTAGTATTATTATTATTATTTATTGTTTATTATTATTATTATTATTATTATTTATTACTTATTGTTTATTATTATTATTATTATTATTGTTAATATAATTATTATTATTATTATTATTATTATTATTATTATTATTGTTGTCGTTGTAATAAGAGCTTAAAAGAATGAAATTTGGCTTTATATCATTAGCAATATCATTAGACGTAAATTAAGAGCAGAGCTGAACTGAACTGAACTGAACTTCAACGGAAGAGAACAAGCCCTAAGAATATAAGATCATTATATTCAATCATGATTGTTTTTATTCCAAAATTGAGGAAAATCCTAAAACGCCCGCTTAATAATATGAATGAATTATGATTCTCTACTAACACTTGCCCTCTCTTTAAATTATATGTGAAAAGCAGTAAACTGTAAACATAATGTCTTATTGGCTGTATGTTGAAAAACGACATCAATGGACGGTTATTTGATCCCGGAAAGTGATTTATTACCGCTACATAGAAAATTGTTGCATTCAAATTTCAAACTTGTGTGTTACTGCTTCATTTACAAGATGACAATTCTCTGTTTTCCTAATTTTCAGCGATTTTGCACTTATTTAGTTGCTCAATTGATGAACTTCGGAGTATAAAGACAAGGAGATGATGCCACTTTGTTTAGATTGATAGGTTTTTTTATTTTATGTCGATGAAAGGGATATTATTGGCGGCAAATGTGAATATATGTGTCATTTTGCATCATTTGAACATGGATGAACATGTAACAGGTGTGTTGGAGACTTTTACTCTTGATGACGATATATTTGTACTTCATTTGTGTCTCCAAATAAAAGCTTCATTTAGCTTGTACAAGTTTCTAGAAAGGTGAATAAGAAAAAAAAAATAAGATATAGGCCTTGTTTGGTAAAGAGCTTTTTGAAAAGCTTTTAGCTTATTGAGCAATATTAGAGGTTTGACCAATTTAAAAATTGGATGTTTGGTAAATAACTTATTAAAAGAGTTTTTTGGTTCCAAAAAGCTCTTTTTGAAAAAGCTCATTTTAAGAGCTTTTTACAATTAGCTTAATGAAGAATTAGCTTTTTGGGTATTAAATACATTGAAACAGCTAATAATAAACAATTATTTACCAAACACTTTTACACAATCAGCTATTTACAACTAGCTAGTCAAATAAGCTAATATAACCAGCTAGTCAAACTAGTTAATATAATCAGCTATACCAATCAGCTAAAAGCTAATTACCAAACAGGGCTATAGAGTAATGGTGTTTGATTGATTACAGGTGAATATAAAAACTGCTCGTATTTATTATTTAAAAAAAAAAAGAGAGATTGTGGTGCTAAACTGCTAATAATAGAAGCTTTGATATTGTACTGTTCTGGAACAAGCTGGACTATCTTTACCTGGTTGTTTGCTTGCTGATGTCATTATTACTTTGTTAGTTAGATACTCATTCATTTATGTATAATTGTGTTTGTTTTATTTCCCCACATTCCAGAACTCTTTGAATAAAAAAGCTAGTGGAGGAAAATATAATCCCAATCAATTTGTTGTTGGTTTTGTTCACATTAATTGTTTTTTGAAACGTATAGTCGTCCACAGAATCTTGGTTGTGACTGCCATAGTTTAAAATTGGCAAAGTATTGGATTTACATATCTTAATCCTACATGCACTACAATTTTTATTTTTTCTCTAAATTGAAAGGAAAAATTGATTATAACAATTTAACCTTTTGTTCTGTTCTTTTAAAATAATCCATCTTTGACGCCTATTTACTCATGAATCATGATAACCCCAACCGGTCACCAACCTATTGTAAATTGACAAAATATTTATGAGAGAATTAGAAATAAATCGGAATAGATCCTTCATCTTAAAATAGTCACACAAATAGGCCTTAAAAACAGTCAATGCAGCGGAATCGTTCCCAGAAATAATCAAATCATCAACATATACTAAAACTGTAATCTGAGTATCACGAGTAGTATGAGTGAATAAAGAATAATCAGAGTAAGATTGTTTGAAACCATACTGTTTTAAGGCCGTGGTAAGTTTAGCAAACCAACATCTAGGAGCTTGCTTCAAACCATAGAGTGACTTCCTCAATCTGCAAACCAATGAAGGATCCGAACTCTGAAAACCAGGCGGAAGTTTCATGTAGAATTCTTCATCTAAGTCACCATGAAGAAAAGCATTGTGAACATCCATTTGGTAAATTTCCCAATTCTTTGGCGGTCGCAATAGCAAGAACAGTACGAACCGTTGTCATCTTAGCAACTGGAGCAAATGTCTCATCATAATCTACACCTGCTTTCTGATGGTTCCCATATACCACCAAACGAGATTTGAGGCGCTCAACTTCATCATTAGAAAGAAACTTGGTCTTATAGACCCATTGACTTCCTAGAGCCTTTTTACCCGGGGGAAGAGGCTACAAAGTCCAAGTACCATTGTTCTCTAAAGCTTGAATTTCTTCACTCATGGACTTGCGCCACTTCATATTTCATAGCTTCTTTGAAGGTTGTCGGATCTTTAGTTTGAACAACAGCTGAAATAAACTTCCGATAATTCACAGAAAATTTGTCACAGTGTATATAATGTGCTAAAGGATACGGAGTACCTGAAGACTGATTGGAAGACGGAGACGGACTTTTAGCAAAAACCGAGTGAGTAACATAATTGCGAAGTAAAACCGAGGGGCATTTCTCGAAATCCCCGACCCATGTCAGTTTGTAGCTGTTGTGCCGTGGTTTCATGATGGTGAGGAGCTGTGGCGTTCTCGAACTGCTGGGTTTGAGCAGTGGTAGCCTCGCCTAGCTGCTTCCCACCAACCTCCTCCTGGGCAGTGGCTGCCTCAGCAGGGTGCTGCACTTCGTGCTGCTGATGTTGCACACCCTGCTGCTGGGCAGTGCTGTGGGCAGGGGACTCCGCAGCCCCCCTGCGGGCTGTACCATTATGCCGCGGGGTGGCTGTGAAGGGTACTGTTTCCACCCTTTCTTCAGAAATTGAACTGTAGTCTGCTACATTGCTAGAGGTGTCACGCACACTTGCATCATTAGCCCCATAACTCAAATCATAATCCTCAAAGTCCACATGAATCTCAACCTCTGTATCACCAAAATTATCATCAATATTTACTTCATCCGGACTTCCAAAAGGGAACATATCTTCGACAAATTTCACATCACGGAAGACAAAAAATTCCTTTGTTCCAAGATCAAATAACTTCCATCCCTTTTTGTAGAAGGGATATCCCATAAAAACACATTTACGACTTCTACTAGCAAACTTATCCCCTCTCGTCTTTTGATTGTGTGCAAAACACAAACAACCAAAAGTACGAATAGCACCAAAAGATGGAGGTTTATTAAATAGAATTTCGAAAGGAGTTTTATTTTGAAGAAGAGGAGTAGGAGTTCGATTAATCAAGTGAGCCGCGGCTAAAACGCACTCACCCCAAAAATAAATAGGTAGGTTGGCTTGGAATCTCAAGGCTCTACCAACATTTAGAATGTGTTTGTGTTTTCTCTCTACTCTCCCGTTTTGTTGAGGAGACCCTACACACGAGGTTTGAAATAAAATACCAGTTGCAACAAAATAATCCTTCAAACAATTAAATTTTGTGCCATTATCACTTTGCACAATTTTAATTGTTTGATTAAATTGCCTATCGACCATAGCAACAAATGCCATAAACATCTGAAAAACTTCTGTCTTATCAAGCATCAAATAAATCCAAACAGCTCGGGAATAATCATCAACAATAGTTAAAAAATAACGAGCACCACATGATGAAACATGTCGATATGGACCCCAGAAATCACAATGTATTTTTTCAAAAATTCTAGTATAATTATTTTCACTTAGAGGAAATTTGTCTCTAGGTTGTTGAGCACGAAAACATACTTCACACCCCTTAGATAAACCATTTTTATTATTGCTAATATGAGGAAGCAACTTAACTACTTTCTCTGAAGGATGTCCCATTCTTCTGTGCCAGAGCTCCAATTCTGATGTAGCTTCAACCACAGACACACGTTGCACAGTATCCAGTTTGCTAAAATAATATAGTCCGTCTCGCCGAAGTCCCGTTCCAATCAGTTGCTTCAGTCGGTCCTGTATAGCACACATATATGAGTTAAATTGGAAAACAACATTTAATTGATCACTAAGTTGAGTGACAGAAATTAAATTGCAATGAAGATGAGGCACAAAAAGAACTCCAGTAATTGTGATTTTATCGGACAGACAAACAGAACCCTCCAAAGTAGCAAATACACGGTCTCCATTCGGTAAGCCAACCGGACATTCAATGATGTGTGTGTCAAACAACCATGAACTATTACCGGTAACATGATGGGTTGCTCCGGTATCTATAATCCAACAAGAATCATCAAATTTATCATTACCCACTGTAGACACCCATTTGTGTCTCCCCAAAACCAAACCCAGTGATGAGTACCTTTCACGTCGAATCATAATCGAATGAAAGTGAAAGTGTGGAAAGTTTAGTGTTGCAGACAGTTTTAATTTCTTTTCTTTTCTCTCTGTTTTTGAAAACTTATTTTTAAGAAAACAGCCAATCCAGTTTGGTTGGTCCATAATACGGGTCCAATAATAGTGTAGTTGGATGGGGCTTGCAAAGATCTTTCCAACGATATATTATAAGCCCAATTCCGATGAATATTGAGGAAGTTATGGCCAATTACTAAACTGGGCCCGGTTTGAGCCTTATATGCGGCCCAATGATCTAGGGGAGGGCCTAATATGATTTATCATTCCTAATGCAATTAGGAATGGTTTTAGTCTTCTAGAAGATTCTTTTCATTCCTAATTCAATTAGCATTGATAAATTGACTTTTTGTTGACTTTTCAGAGTTTTAATCAAAATCAAATAGCATTTTTGAGGAAATTATATGATTTTATCCTCCAGTACGGCAAACTGATCTGATTTTCGAAAACGCGTTAAAACCAGGCTTGGCGCCAGACTCCAGGCATTGGCGCCTGGAACCAGGCTTGGCGCCTAGCGCTAGTGTTAGTGCTTAGCGCCAATTAGCCAGGGCTTGCGCCTGCTCTGTTTTTTGTGCGTCAGACTCTGTTTTGTTAATTTTATCTTTTTGGCTGATTTTCTCTATAAATAACGTATTAAAAACTCCGTTTTCATTCACCAATTCTCATCATTCACGAATTATCATCAACAATCAGTTTTAATTAGCATTCGCCTACAATCAATTCTTTTTCTCTCGAATTCTTTCTTAGCTTTTTTCATACAAAATTCTGCATTCGCAAGATCTAGATACATCTAGCCATATTCGAAGTTGCCTTCGCCCTAAACATGAAAGGTTTAATTTCTGAGGGTTTGGTCCCAAATCTCTATTTCAATTATTTAATTTAATTGTTTGATTATTATTTTCCTTGAAGTTACTAACGTGTGTATTTTGTTATTAGAAAGAGGTACGAGGCATCAAAGTAAGTGCTGTAATGGTTTTTATTGATGTTATGATGTAGAAATCATGTTTACATTGTTATTATGATATTCCTAGTATCATGTCTAGGGTAATATTAATATTAAATATGATTGTTATGATGCTTCCTATGTTCTTCCTAATATTGTGATTGTTAGTATCATGTTAGGGCTAAAGATTTGATTTTTATTGCTTAGTGACATGCTAGGGTTTGTTATTAATCTTGTTAGTATCATGCCTAGGATCTTGCTATTTTTATTATGCTTTAATATGATTATGATTATGATTATAATTGTTATAATTTATGATGATTATGAATATTATTATTATTTTGATATGATTATTTTATTTATGATGATTATTTATTATGATTATTATTTTTACGATTATTATTATTTTAATTATGATTATAATTTTATTGTCATGATTATTATTATTTTATGATTATGTT